GAATATTTAACTGATATATTTACAACCACTTTCCCTCCGATCAATTATAGTTATGTTACAACAAATGAAATTGAAAAAATTATAGACAAATTGAAAATGACCAATTCTACTGGGTATGATAAGATCACTATCAAAGTATTAAAAAGTTGTAAACATTTTATTACCTCATCCTTAACATACATAATAAATAGATTGTTAGCTACCGGTATATTTCCTGATAGGCTAAAATTCTCCAATATAAAACCTATATATAAAAATGTTGATAAAAATCTTATCAATATTTATAGGCCTATATCCTTATTGACTTCCTTTTCGAAGATATTTGAGAAAGGTGTTTGTAAGACTTTGTCATCATTTGACTATCAACAATGTTTTAGCCAATGAACAGTTTGGATTTCGAATTAAATTTTCCACTGAAAAGGCCATTAATAAATTGCTTGACCTGACCTTAACTGCCCTGAATGCTGGCCATAATGTGGGTGGAATATTTTGTGATTTGAAAAAGGCCTTTGATTGTGTCAATCACAAGATTTTATTATCTAAGGTGGAATTCTATGGTATTATGGGTCCGATGCATAAATGGATAGCATCTTATCTTAAAGGAAGGTTTCAAAGAATTAAATTACAAGGTAATGATAGTAACCTAAATACCTATTCAAATTGGTGCTTAATATCCCATGGTGTCCCGCAGGGATCCATTTTGGGTCCCCTGTTATTCTTGATCTATATTAATGATTTGCCTCTAGTATTAAATATGATTTCCTATCCTATCCTCTTTGCTGATGATACTATTGTGATTGTATCCAATCCAGATCCAGAAGGCTCGATACTTTTTGAACACACCACATATTGTAACGTGAAAGGGGTTGGCATGACTAATAGTAATTGATTCTAGGTTTTATGATTGGTTTTGTTGGCACATATTTACAATTATAGTTAATTTTAACAGCTCACACATTGAAGTCCTTCCTTAACTACGTCTGTCTTACCAATCTCGGACTGATCTTCTCTCCTCCTTGAATCCACGAATCCACTGCCTTTTATAACTTCCATGCAGCCTGAACAGAAGTCACCATGTCTTGCAATTTATTATCTTCTGTTATTCTCGGTTTCATCCATTTCCATGAAATGGTCAATCTCAGAGCAACGCCTTGATTCCTCCAAGCATGTTCATTTCTGCGAAACATGTTTTAACAATCTGTTGTCTAACAATGGGTTATTTCTTCACAGTATATATGTCATATAAACAGCCTTGTGTAGTGGAATCGTGATGCCCTGTGCTGTGCATGAATAGTGTTTAAATGGGCACGGTGTTATGACCGGTTCAGGTATGCGTCTATGCGACATTTACTTATGTAAATAAGTCCGATACATCTGGCACTAGATGTTGCAAGTCATGTTTATAGAAATTCATCGTCCTTTAGTTGTGCAGCATAAGTCAACCAACAGCGTATTATAAATACAGGGTGGTTTTTAATGAACTTGACGTGTTCATGGGTCTGTGCTTCACCGCGACAGGCGCACTGCCGGCCACGGAGCGCGCACAAATTTTGCTGATAACATTTGGAATGAAGGGAAGTTCTTACCTTTTCTTTTTCCACAAATCACAGGATATGTTGAAAATACAGTCCCTCTACACAGACATTCCTCACACTGGCAGAAGAGGTTTTGAGTTACCTTCTGATGATTCTGTGCAGGAATATTTGAAATTTTCCTACGTATGTTTTCTCAGTCCTCCTCATGTTCATGGGTTACTACTGTAAACTTTGTCCTTCACACATTCCCAGTAGAAAAAATCACAATGATCACTTCTCCTTAATAAGCACTCGATGCTGTTTTGTTTTCTTTTCTATTAAGAGTCTCGTTGTTCTAAGTTTATTCATCAAATTATGAATTCTTTGTCTGCTGGGAACTCTTTCATCACAAAATTTACATCGAAAATTTCGCTGACACTTTCCAGCAGATCCATATTTCACATAGGTGTCATACATAAAAAACATGTTGCTCTAAAGTATAGCGAACCATGTCATACCAAACTGCTGACTAACTATTAACTGGGAACAAATGGCTCATGGCAGAATTGTATATTCCAATTTTTATGTTTTTAGACAGCAGACAAGAAGACAAAAAGTTCTGCACTGAATGGCAGCAAGCTTGCCCAGATACAGTCTCCTCTTAATTTCCTCCTGAATCAGGTTTTGATTTGTTCTATTCTTGGAACTGTTGTGACATGAACACACTTATCAGTTGGAGTACCTTTCAAAACACCCACCTAAAATTTCTCTGACCAGTCACCACATACTGTGATTCCACATACCACATCATGCACTGTGTCTTTCCCTGCATTAATGCCATGATTGAATGACTCCACTTTCATGCAGTTCCAACTTGTTGTGGTGAAGTGCTCTGGGGTTCTTTTACTACATGCTACGTAGGTAGGCTGAAAAGTAATGCACACATGCTTGTATAGTGCGAATGAAATGACCTTCAGAAGTGCGCCAGGTGGCATGTGGAAGTAACATTCCCCCTCAATACGCATGGGCAGGTTTGAGGTCGTTGCGTTCATCCAGTGTATTTCGAGAAGCAGAAGTATGGAGATGTGTTCTAGTGCTATGTCAACACGAGTTAAACAGCATGCTGTTATCGAATTTTTAACTGCTGAAAAAGTTACTCCTACTGAGATTCATCGTCGTCTAATGGCTGTTTATGGTGACGATGCTGTTGATAGGTCTACTGTAAATCGATGGGTAATAAAATTTCGTGGTTGTGAGCCTGGAAAAGCCATAATTGTTGATGAGAGACGCAGTGGACGTCCGATCACTGCCACAGACGATAATCATCGCAAACTCGTTGACGATTTGATTCAAAATGACCGGCGAATCACTCAAAAGCGTATCGCAAACCATATTGGAATATCCAAGGAACGTGTCGGCTTCATTATTGAACAACTGGGATACTGTAAAATCTGTGCACGATGGGTACCACGCCGTCTCACAGACGAGAACAAACAGCTTTGATTGGAATGCTGTGAGCAACTTTTGCAGCGCTACCATGACAAAGGAGATGACTTCCTTTTGAATATTGTGATGGGGGACGAGTCATGGGTCCATCGTTACAACCCAGAAGAGAAAAGACAGAGCACTGAATATCGACATCCGTCTTCTCCTCAGGCGAAAAAGTTCAAAATACAACCATCCGCCAAAAACTTCTTTTGACTGTGTTTTGGGATGCTCACCGAGTTTATGTGACCGATTTTCTGGAACGAGGGGCAACGGTAAATTCTTCTCAGTACATACAGACTCTAAAACACCTCCAGTGTCGAGTTTGTCATGTTAGAGGCAGCCTGGCGCCAATAATCTTGCAACATGACAATGCTCATCCACACACCTCGCGCGCAACTGAAGAGGCTCTGCGAAACCTGAAGTTTGAACCGATTCCACACCCTCCTTATTCCCCCAATCTTGCGCCTTGCGATTTTTATTTTTTTCCTCTACTCAAGAGAGACCTCAAGGGTAATCATTACACCTCGGACGATGAGGTGAAGGCAGCTGTTAAGTCCTGGATTCGAAGTTGGAAGAATTTTTCAGTGACGGAATGAAAAAACTTGTTACACGTTGGGAGAAATGTGTTAGCCTCAACGGTGACTATGTTGAAAAATAAATATATGCTTTTGAAACTTAAGAATTGTACTTTAATATACTTTTTGCCCGATCTTGCTATTTGTTTTTTTTTTCGCACTCTACAAGCATGTGTGCATTACTTTTCAGCCTACCCACGTATATATGATGGAGAGGTGTGAAGAACTAAAGACAAAATGGCATTTTAACCCGCTGCATGTATTAACAGTCAGCCAGGAGTGGATCATAAAGTACACAGGACAGCACTTTCACTGCAGCACAGGTGTAAAGCTGTGTTGTTGTTACCCAACAATTTTTATAACTGGGAATTTATCTTCTGGATTGCAAAAGAAAATATACTTTGAGCATCTATTTATTTGTGGTCTAAACTAAAGCGATTTTTTTGATAGAAAATTTTACAATATACACCACATTGTTGGTGTTTACATCATCTTTGCAATCCACAGGTTTAATACCAGTGAAATTGATGGTTCATTGGTTATGCAAAATCTTACACCGACTGTTTTCTTGATTCCAGGTACAGTCGAGAAAACCTCTTTCAAAACCTGAAGTTTTCTGCAATTTGGCAATATATTGACCACTGGACTTTAAAAAGAGGATTCCTAATACTGTCCTGAATTAAAAGTGATTTTTTTATATTCGACACAATAAACATTCATTAACTGAGTATAATATATTTATCATACAGATTATACAATTTTTTGTACTGATTTCTTTGCATTTTAGAGTAAATACCAGAAAAATAAATCTGAACAACACACACATGATTACATTCCTACTGAGCAATCTGTACACTTTATCGTTAAAATTTACATAAATTGTACACAATTCATTATAATAATATATACATAATATTTTATACTACCTAGACTTAAGCTTTTAGGGGAATTTCATCTGCTTCTCCATGCTTTGTGCACCATTAATATGGTAACTTGGTATGCTTAGCTGTAGTGCTTCTTGAATTCCCTTCATACTCATTAAAAAAGGTACAGTGGTGATGTGAGGGTAATTTTTCTTTTTCCATCTATATATGGCTGTCAATATTGCATAAGCCTGCTTGTTTCATTGTGATACTCCTATCTGAAATGAGAACAAATCTTCTGGACACTGTAGCTGTTATTATCTTCATAGGTTAGCTCCAGTGTCTAGTGACCTGTTCTGCCCCAGATGAATTACTGTAGACGCAGTAAGACCAAATCTGTTCTTATGCTATACCATCAATCACACTCTCTGTTATATTTCCACAAGTCTTAATATGTTTTCCTATGTGAACCCATTATGTTATCAACATAAAACTGATAAAATCATTTTAAAATTGTTAGTTCCAAACCTTAAAATTTGAATAAGATTTAAAAGTTTGTGATGATAGGATATCAATAAAATGAATGACATTTTGGATATTATCCATCGCCCTATTTTTATTTAAAGAATGTTTCAGAGGCTAAACTCTTGCTTCTATTCTCAAGTAAAAAATCTAACTCAGTTCGGCCCAACTGATACAGCTAGTCCCCGTCTCCTGAGGTAGATGGAGTCCAGCCTCCAAAATGATGTTTTAAATAAAAATGGATGATGGATATGGCCAGGAAGTTCATCAGTGCCTTGAAATCTGAGCTTAATCAAAATTTATTTTCCATAACACCAAAATATTTAATATTAATTTCTGCTCAAATGTCTTACAAGAAAAATCTATGAAGATTAATTTTTATGAAAGGTATGTTCTTCTGTGTTGTAATGCAATGGAGTTAAGGAAAAGCTTTCTGAACTACATGGTGTTGCAACCCAAAAGAATTACTCTTCATAGTCAGTGCTGTGGGAATCTCAAATCCAATGTAAAATTTGTAATTTTTACTCTGTTGTAGATACGATGTGGGAAAGATATTTTCAAAAAATGATTACTCGAAATATGTGTTCCTTTGAAGCGCACCATAGTTTCTTCTTGTACCCACTGCAATACCCACAGTCATAATGAGAGCAAGACAGTGTTAACTATTCTTTCTCTTTGGCTAGAGCTGCAATGATTGACAACCACTTCATCTCAAGATGACATTTGTGTCATAGCCCTGTTCCTTCGAGTCTCGTTGACCAGATACTCTTCTAAATGGGTTCCACGTAAGTTTCTTATGTTGGTGGTGGCTTGTTACACTGCCTGCTGGGCTGGGTTGTCCACTTGATACTCCTGAGCTTGAGCTGCTGCTAGTTGAAACTGAGCCTTTTAGTCCACCTTTTGGTTGCTAGAAATACCATTGTCAGAAGTGTTACAACTGTTTATTGATTACATCAAAAGTTACTAACTATTCATCAGGCTACAGGTTTCAACCACATGCAGTGATGAGCACTCCTGTATTAAGACTTGGCTCTTACTTCCTATTTTAAATGTCCATGGTGTTCATCTATGCTGGTAGACCAGCTTCTCTAATTGGTACTTTTCATGGGTCTTGTATTGTGGCACTAATACAGAGGGGTGGTCAGCTTCATACTGTGGCTGCTTTATGACTGGGAATAAAGTGTACACAGGACAGACGTTAAAGAGACTGTGGCACTAAATAAAGGTAAGTGGTCAACTTCATACTCTGAAGCCTGGTAGAATTTTATTGATGTACTATCTATTTTCTGAAGATGGAGGCAGTACATTCCTCATACATGCTAATTAACTTCTGCCAGATTACACAGCATCAGATCTCATTCTCAGGATATGAAAGTGTGGTAGGTGAGCTGAGTCCAGAATGTCAGAGACAATGACTTCTGACAGGCAGAGGTTCTTGTCACAACAATATCAAGCATGTCACCGTTTCTGCAAGGGAATTAATAAGAGCAACATTGTGGTGCTGAAATTTCAAACTCATTTATATGCAATAAATGCAGCAGTTCACACATGAAGAATTGAAAAATATGTTATTCCAAAATGGATGTTCAGCATTCAGCTCTCTTGCCAGCACTGACCTACGTCTAAAGCTTAAGAGCTCAGTGATGTGTGGCCTAGGAACTTACAGACTGCTGCAAGCAACACTTCACTATTACCAGTCAGTACGCAAACCCCTGTGGCAACTAATGAAACAAGGGGAGGCAGGTATACATGGTTGTGGGGAATGCCTTTTCTCACTGCAACGGAAGTTCTGCCGTTTCTTCCTGGGAAGCCGTTAGGATGATAAAAGTGATAATTTCCAATGGAGGACCTCTCATGGGGTTTGAGATGTGTCTCTGAGAGCAGAGCCATGTCTATATGTAAGTCTTGCAGCTGTTTACTGAGCTCACAGTGCTGCCTCCGAATGCCATTTACATTAAATGTTATGATTTTGAGCAGTCTTATGAATTCTAGCAGCCATTTTGTTGCATTAAGTGCCATTTTTATAATGACCATTATTCTGTCCTTTTCTGACACAGCTTTACTGAGCTCTGTTATGATCTGATGCACTACAGTGGTTACAGTGCCATTGTTAGACGAACTGGGAGCCTGTGCTGACAGACCTGTTTTCTGAATTTCCTGTTACGGCAGATGTTGCTGCACAGGAGGCTGCAAGCTCTTCCCATTTGACTGTGGTGCCTGTGGTTGCTGGTTTTGCATGTTTTGATGCATTGCAACTGCAAAGGACTGCTCTAGTGAGGTGAACTTAGAGGAGATTATCCTCTCAGAAGATCCCTTGGGTTTCATTGTGTTCTTCTCCTTTGCAGATCTCCTTTCCCATGGCTGCAGCTTCGATGTGACACCAGATGAGGTTTCTATCCTTCTACTGGGTAGCAATTGCAGCAGCTGTGTGTAAATTCTGTTTTTAATATCTGGCAATTCCCCATGAAGGTGGCCAACACCACACACAACCAGGGGGTTACTTGCAATTTGCCCAGTTTTACCACTGGGTAAGGCTAGTCTGAGCTCTTTGTAACTCTACCTTGATACTAAAATGGGAACAGATGCTCAGCTTGAATATCTCTTCAGATGCTGTTTCTTCTTAAGGTAGCAAGGAATATAAGGAGGGGTTCACATGGGTTCTTCTGCTGGGTTTTTTTCCAGTGGCCATGAATTATTTCATGTTAATAATGTTGAAGTCTTAAGTCCTCAAAGCTGTTGAATACATTCTGCTGGCATTTATCAGGGAAGGTGACAGATCACTGCCTTGATAGAATTTTTGGAATTTGGGGAGAAGGTGAAATAGTGGAGATTATTTTTCTCTGGGTAGCATTTTATTGCTGAATAGTCCACTATTTCTTTTGTTATGATACGGGTTCCATTTCATGTGCTTTGGAGCTCTTATTCTCCTTTGGCGTGTTCTTTAATGTCGCTTTGTATTTGAATGAGGTTTGTGGTAGAAGTCATCACTATTTATGGCGGCCTACCTGATATTCTGGAAGCGCCCTATTTAGGTAGAGTTTTCTTTGCTCCAGTAGTCTCCATGTCCATGGTAGTAGTTCTGAGAGGTATGAAGATGTTGCAAGTTGACACTGTTTTGGAGGCAGCTTGACAGTTGTGGATGTTGGGACTCTTTTAGTTGACTTCTCTGACCATGAGGTATCATCAGAGTTGTGCCTCTTGCATTTCTTTACTTCCTGGGCCTTTGATTCTGATCAGGTTTTGTTCACTGCACCACTGTGTTCTGCATATGCACTCATGGTCTTCAGTTCATTCAGTGTTACAGTGTTCATGCTGTAAAGCGTGCTAAATAGCAGCTTCCCGTCCAGAGCCTTGCAAAAGTTTGCTCTGATCTCCTCTGCACTATTCACAATAGAAGTCTGCTCAGAGCTTTCCCCAGCTTTAGCCGGTGTGCATCTGGCAAGGATCTCAAGGTCACTGAGTACTTTATGTACTTATTGTTCTATAGAAGCTGCTTCTGGGTATTTGTTCTTGATGGCATGTCATTCTGATTTTAGCAGTGCCCATGATGTGTAGCCATCACGACAAGGACCGTAACAGATCCAGCAACATCAGAGGACACAGTACAACAGCGAGACCTCCAAAAAGTGACAAGTGCAATCAATATAATAAACTGATATATTGGGTTTCTGGACGATGGATAAAGTCCAGAAACCCAATATATCAGTGTGTTATACACCATCGTCAGAATCCTATAGTAACTACAATATAATAAAATTGAACTTTAATTCATGAACCTCTAACCAATAATACAATTAAACTAGTTAAAGTGAACATGATGCAGTGATGAGCGTAAGTAGGAAGTGACTGAAAAACGAAGTGAAAGTGAAAGCATAACTAGTGATCTGAATTGAAATTTGATTCACAAATTTTAACTTTTGACATTTAGAATAATATTTTAACTTGTGTTTTGTGAGAGGAGCTCAATATATTATTGAGTGTGGGCCTGAATAAGATACAGGATCAAATAAGTGAGAAGACGAATGTGATTGCGTGTAATTATATAGCCGTGTTCGTACACCTGAGGATGACCTCTTGAGGTCGAAACATGTAGTTTAATAATAATAAAAATATGTTGTGTGGTCGGTAAAATTGACTCTAATATTAATTAAATACACAACAGGATGCAAGAAACAATTAAAGTTAGTAGTCAGGAGTTCCTGGTTACAGATCCAGAGGTCCCAGGTTCGATTTCTGGTGCTACCATATTTTCTGAGAAGTAGTGGATCTGGAACAGGGTCCACTCAGCTTCATGAGGATAACTGAGGAGCAATTTGAATGGAAAAGGAGCCGCTCCAGTCTAGAAACCCGAAATTAACGGCTATGGGGATTTGTTGCGCTGGCCACGTGACACCGTCTATCTGCTAAAGCTGGCACTAACTTTGCTGCAAGTGGCTGTCGCTCGGTTGGTATAGTTCGCTTGCGGACTACAGGCCATGGAGTTATATAATTTTCATTTCCCCAATTTTACACTTACAGCCAACTCTCGATTATCCAGGGGCGGATTAACTGGTTTGCGGCTTAACCAGGGCTACTGAGGCTTTTTTGAGACTTATATGTTGTTTAATATTCATTCACTTTTGTTTCACATGGCGAGTTGTAACACTATTTTCGCACTAGTGTGAAACAATGCAAGGATTTGTGGAAAGTTTCAAGGACAAATACATCGCCCCAGTTAGTATCTTTGTATCGATCTTCAAGTGCATTAGCAAAATGTCAGGGTGTAAAAGGAAGCACGTTGTGTTAAGTATTCAACAGAAAAAGGAAAATGCCGCGAAAAAGTAAACGACAATATTAATTTTTTTTAAGTGTTAAGTGTGAATATTCGTAAAAAGTGTTGGATGTTGTTGAACACTGTGATTGAAATAACTAATTCATACTTCAGTGTAATGTAAAAAAGTATTAAATAGGCCATGAGATGACATAAAAATGAGGTTGAATAAATTTAAATACAGGTAGGCCTATAGTATTATGAAGGTACAGTATTACAGTACTACTTTTAATAACATTTGTCTTAACCAGGTTTTCGATTAATCGTGATTTCCATCCCCACCATTATCCCGGATAATCGAGAGTTGACTGTATTTTAGGTGATACCTTATAAAGTATAAAATCAAGGTTTCACTGTAATGCGTCTATTGAGAATTATTCACAGACAACCACATTAAGCATATTTATTAAGGTAATGTTAATTATATCCTCGTACTTTGCAGATATTTCAGGTCTTGAAAATGGGAACAAAATTCTATTATAAATGTAGAAAATACTATCTTTTAATCCCAAATATACTCTTTTATTAAATTACAGCCACACTTCCTTCATCCTCTGATGATATTTAAATTTCCCCATTCTAATAATTGAAGCTGCATCTTGTATTTGGCAAATATATCAACTAGATCTAGAAAATGGTCATTTCTTTTTACACCTGTAATGAAATCATTGTTGGTGGGGAGTCAGATTTGAATTATTTACACTATATTAGTTAGGTGTGTCTTCACCATCTAATGGTGTAAATATACATTTATATGTAAATTAAGTAAAGGTATCCCTGTAACAGGCTGTGGAGGCCCATAAGGTTGTGAGATGTTGAGGTTCCCACATTTTCTAGACAACTGGCTAATAGATGGTGGCAAAGTTGTCAGCCCTATGCGCTGGCTGCCCTTTACCCCCCAAGAATATTCCTGGTACTCATGTCTATTAGAGGCTGAGTCAACCCCAGGGCCATAGTGCTGCTGGAAGGATTAGGTGAATTAAAAGAAATCCAGTGACCTCATCGGCACTTGAACCCATGACCTTCCGGCTTGT